ACAGAAATGCAAGGTCATTTCAAGAGTTAGATTTCAACTTCTGGTAAGTTTTCAATATGCTATAAGCATTTGGAAAATATAAAACTAAATTAAGGTAAAGTACTTTTTAGAAGATGGTACACTAATTAGGCGCAAGATACAGAGTAGAAATCATCAGCTGAAAGTTTCATAACAGATCATCACAGTTCTACAAGACCATTGATTCTACATAAATGGTAATAAAGGAAATCCTTATTTATCTTTAAGCCTAAAGACGTGAAGAGGGAGTGAAATAAGAATTCAGACAGCAGGTAGACTTACTTGACATTAGTAATCTAGCTATGAAGTTTACTTCTGCTATGGAATATGGATGGCATATATTGCAGGGTGGTATTAAGTTTTATTATGTTTAAAAACTGAACTTCTGACAGTAAAATATTCCTATGAAATATAAATATTTTAACTGAAAAAAGAGAAAAATCCACCTGGGGATTGATCTGATGACAGTAAGTACAAAGAGATATAGAAGAAAACACCATGTTTAAGCCTTTGCATATTTCCTCCATCCCATCTAGTCATCTAAGCTCCATGTGTATTAAGTAAGTAGCGTGAAAAGGTATTTTTAGGGTATTAATTCCTCTCACCTACTGTCAAAGAGTATAGCCATGCTCTAATGCTGCCTGCTTCTCTCCACTGTTTGCATAGGTAATCTGTGTCACTAAATGAGGTGACATATTCATTTTCAAAGACAGATGATGAAAGATGTTCTCAGTGGGTGATATACTAATACAGCGCCATTTAGCAAATGCAGAGTTTCACATATTCCCAGATTATTCTGTACTCAATAACTTCCTGAATCATCCTTCTCTTCCCTTTCCTCTCTACTCCAGAAACCATAAACGATGTGACACTGCAAGGTTAGTGAACAGCACAAGATGCTGTGACTTGTTCCAGACAGACTTTATGTTATTGGGTGCTCACCTGTACCCTGTGTCAGAAATTAATTTGGTACAGCATTTTGCCATGTGATTATTTTCCAGTGACAGGGTGTTGTTAAGAGGCCAAATTTACATATCTGGAAAGTGCAGAGGCAAAGCAGTTTGTTTTGACTGCCTTTCTTGATTTAAAATAAAATGTAAAATAAATTGCATTTAGAAAGAAGTCACATGAGATGAGTTACGAACTGCTCAGCAACATACATGCACTAGTAGTCAAGATCAATACCTCTTTTTGGTAAAGGTTCCCATGACTTTTGTGCAGCTGGAGTTGTCTCCTCCGCAAATACCACACTTATCATACTGGAGCTTCGAACCAATGATGCCGTCACAACCAGTTCGGATGCATTTTCCCCGGACACAGACTGAGTTACTGTACGGCCTGCATTCAGTTCCATCAGCTACCTAGGGAGTCAGGTGGCCGTTAGTTAAAACTGCTATGGAAAAAAATTGCTTTTGTGAATCTGATTAACAAATATTTATATAACCAATATCAAAGGCGGCAAGTCATTTAAAAATATGCTATAGATGAACAAATACACAGAGCATTTCTAAAATGGTATTTCAGTCCATTGTAGGTAAGAATTCATTTAATGAATTTGTGCTTACTTGGTGTTTAGCCAGACGAATACCAGCACAGAGCTTGGCAGCCAAGATTATGTTGCTTTAACACTCCTAGCACCAAAGCAGCCCAAATTTAGTGGTAGGACTGAAAGTAATGACAGATAACTCTACCACAAGACACTAAAATAAGTCTACTTTTAAAGATTATTTCATAACTTCTTAATAATAGTTATAACAGTAGACAGCCTTTCATTTGAACATTTCAGTTCACATACCAGTTACCACATCCTCATAACATTTAGAGGAAGAAAATTGCAAGAGCAAGTGTGGGAGCCATTTCAGTTTGAGTTGCATCTCATGTATCATAAGCTAACCACATAAATTGGCTTCACGTGAGTTACTCTAGATTCCTATAACAGAAATCAGGGTAATATTGATTTTTAACTTATTCTCCCTCCTCTATAAAACCCTAGAGTCACAAATGATTCCCCAGGCAGAAATGCTTTCCCTTATTCACTACTGGAAAATTAGTGCAGGGTACACTAATAAGCACATATTATTATGAACCCACAAATTTAGATGTGGAAAAGCATACCTAATATAGAGACCAGTTCTGGTCCTAATTTATAACCAGTGGATCAAACCAGCACATCTGGTTTGATATCTGTATATATACAGTTAAGTCTTTGGATTATATGATTAAATTGTTTAGTATACAACTTAGTATACAGTTATGTGTAGTATATACCTGGAAAGCTTTCTAAGGCATAGGAGACTTGTAAATCGAGACCTGAAATCATAACTGAAGACCCCATTACCTTTTGAGAAAACACCACGTAATAGCCAGTTCCTTTGGCTCGGCAGGTGAGCTTGCAAACATCTCCAGGAAGTACTCCAGCATACTTGGGGACCCATTCAACAAATGTTTTCACACCCTTTGCATCAGATTGATAGCCATTCCTTGCTTCACACTGCTCTTGTCGGAAAGATTTAGCTGTAGAATTATTTGTATCATTAGTGATCATTTCAGAACATGCTGCAAACATCATTACGTCTACCTATTATTCCATTTTTTGATTTGCTTTACCATAACTTTTAAGTCATATTATTTCTCCACTTTGTTACCTAACAGGCCTTTGAATCATTTAACTATTTAAACTTGGAAATCTTCCCTAAACATAATAAGAATTCAATGATTGCAGTGTGCCTTGCCGTTCCTTTTTCAAGTGTGAAGTTTGTTTTCACTGGAATATCCATCCTTTTTGTTTGGGGTCTGAGTTGGAGTTGGGGAAGAATTATGGTATTGTATTAATGTTGAACATCTTGCCGTGGTAAGTAATTCTTATTATGTGTTGGAAAAACTATACCCAACTCAGTAGATGATCATATTTTTTGTCTAGACACACACAGGCTGGAGCACAGAGGTACTTTGGCAGCTATGCAACATACCATTTGCTGGGCAAGGTGTGACGTTGCAGGAGCGATAGATGGCCCTCTTGCCAGTGCAGTACCTGCCGTTGTTCCTGGGAGCTGGGTTGTTGCAGTGACGATAAGCAAACTGGACTCCTCCGCCACAGGTCCGGGAACACTGTCCCCATGGTCCCCAGGACCCCCAGTTACCATGGTTGGAAGCCTGAAGCAAACAGGACAGAGGGAAGTAAGAGCATCATCCAAATGTTAATGTGAATAAGAGCAAACAAATAAATTTCAAATACGTGTTTTCTTCAATGGGGGAAAATTCCCTTTATCAGAGACAAAAAGCAGCTCCATCTGAGGAGACTTTTCTGCGCATTCATGACATGTTACATGGCATCGTGCACACAAGGCTACGGCAATACTAGGCTTCTTTCTGCACAGCCAACTTCAGCATATTTCCCAAAAAGTGCACACCTCGCTAGAAATACTAACTATATTCTCATATACACCTTATCATTTTTTGCTATCCCATCAAAAGGCCCACTTAAACTAGCTGATAGAAATTCCATGTTCTGTATTATGAGACCTAATCACAATCCAACCAATTTATGCGAGGATTTGTAACCATACCCGAATCCCCATTCTGAAGGAACAGAGTTCAATCTCTTATGTTAGTGAGTTTTGTTTCCAAAGGCCTACTTCACACACACACTACAAATATGAGCTGATATCCACAGTTTCACCAAGTCAATCATCTGCCCAAATTACATTAGCGGTCATCCAAGATTAGGTTATTGCATCTATTTTTCTCTTTTGTAAACACAAAGGATAGAATTTAGGAAATGAAGGCATAACACGAAGAGGTTTGGCAGGAAGAGTGAAGCTGCCGCTGAACCAAGAGGTTAACATTCCAGGAATACTGTCTAGAAATGGAGTCATCAGATAGAGTTTGCAACTCTGTTAATTTGACTCCCTAAATAGAACAAGTGTTTTTTACAAGTGTTGCGTGAAAAAGAAGGTTATTTGTTAAAAATAAAGGTGCTACAAATTGATTTGAACTCTTCTCCTATTTTGTTGGAGATCCTGAATGGGTAAATCTTCCTCCCCCTTTGCCAGGAATGAAGGCTTTCATGCTTCAAGAAAAAGAAATCATCCTCAAATTCAGCAGTGTTTTCCCTATATCCCTCACTAATAAAGTGCCAACATGTTAAAAAATAAAGCAACTCTTAGGATCGACATTGTCAAAACCCTTTCACTCCCACGCAAATCGCTGCCTTTCAGGATTACGCCTTCTGAAATTCCCTAGGGTCACAGCTGGCGACTTACCGAGTAGTACTTCTTCTTGGTTTTGTCAACGCATTTTCCCTGGAGGCAGATCCTCCCTTTCCCGCAGGGTGTCCCCTCCACGGCAGGCAGCTTCTTAGTCAGACAGACCATCTGGCCCTGGCGGACCACGGCACACCAGAGGCGAGAGCACACGTCCATACCGGGACACACCGTGTACTCGGCTCCGAAGGCCAGCTTGCACTGGCGAATGGCATCGTAAGTCTGTCCTGGGAGCTCCTCGGGGCCCAGGATCTGCTTTCTTGGTTGGTCCAGCAAGCAGTTGCCTGGAAGAGCCACACAACATGTTATCACTCAGTGCTCCGAGGTTTCTCTGCAGTGCTGCAAATTCGTCATTTGAGTTAGGCAGGCTGGTAATGGCTGTGAACCTCATTCAGAGGACACTAATGCTCACAGAAAGACTCCCTGAGGTATCATCAACTTCTGGATGAAGGCGCATGATTGCAACTTTGTTCTCTCAGCAGCGTCCCCAGTGTCAAGCTATTTATTTCCAGTCCAAGGCTGGAAAAGAATTTTACTCACATCCCTTCAGCCTTCCATTCTGTTTCCTTTACTCAGATCAACTCTGAGCACACTCCAGCCTCTTTATCAATTTGTCATTTAAGAAATGATCAGGACGCGTGGCAAAGTAAACAAAGCCATCACTTGAATTTTTAGCCAGTGCTTTTGAAATGGTAAAGTTTCTGGGAAGCCAGAAAAAAATCACAGAGAAAAATAACCAAAAAAAAAAAAAAACCCACACACCACACCCTTGAATTGTATCCAATGAGACCCTTATAAAACAGGAAAAAAAATGGATCAAAGGAAAAATAAAAGCTGTATATCAAAGTTAATGTTTGTGGTAAATCTCTGCTGGGTTCCCTTGTAAGGAAAGATACTACTACTTTGGAGTTATTTTGAATAGTGCTACACATTGCATTAAAAACAGAAAAAAAAAAGAATAAAGATCATATACATAAATCATAGAAGAAAATGTGTTGAAAAATAATGCAGAACTTATAGTTTGTCTGCTACACATTCTAAAAATGAGAATTCACATTCAGATTCTTTAAAAGAATCTACTGAAAAGTTTTTTTTTTCACGACTGAAAACCTTACTTGTTGACATACAGAATTATTTATTCAGCATAACCTCTTTTACACCCCAGGAAAGGGTTATGTAGTCTGGGAAAGCTTCACTTATCCTTATCCAAAATAATTTACTACAATTTATCACACTTTGCAACTCATGCCAGTATTCTTCAGATGGATCATGGGTAAAAAAGGCTCACTGTAAAAATCTTACCACAGCCAAGTAGAATAGAGGTACAAGCTATGGCAGTGCATTTAAACAACCAAACGCCCCATTACTCAAACAATGGTTTGTGTTTGCCCTTCAGAACACACATTTACTGTAACCTCATTTTTTTCCTCTAAAGATGAAGGCTGATTAGCTATATTTAGCCAAAAATCCTTTCTGAATCATCACTTACTACTAAAAACTCTCTACTTTGTTAAACTTGTTAAACTTCATCTGTCCTTTGTTGACCTTGATTTACCCTGCTTTTATCTTTAATCTGTATTACGCTGACTTTTTTAATGAATACAAGGTGTGCCAATGCTAACTGATGAGATGACTGCAATGAGATAAAGATAATTAAAAATACCCTACTGTTCAAAGCTCTACATAGTGTAAAATATTACAAAAACATGGTAAAAAGTGAGGAAGCACAGACGTTTTCTATAAAGTAGATTTCCTGGGTTTCTGAGAAGGAAATAATTGGCAACAGTTTCTGTCAAAAATACATCTATGAAAACAGAGACAGATTATGCTCTTCTACTTCATAAACTTTGTTTGAAGGAAGAGGCTGGAGTAGTAGTGGGTTAATGACAAGATGACACTACCATGTCAACTTTTGGAGGTACACACTTCTAGTAAATAGTGCAGTGTTTATCAAATTCCCACAGTGCAACTACTATTCAGTATTTTGAAACACGACAGTAACACATAGAATAGAATCACAGAATCACAGAATGCTTAAGGTTGGAAGGGACCTCTAGAGATCATCTAGTCCACCCCCCCTGCACACGCAGGGACACCTAGAGCACGTGGCACAGGACTGCGTCCAAGCGGGTTTGGAAGATCTCCAGAGAAGGAGACTCCACAACCTCTCTGGGCAGCCTGTTCCAGTGCTCTGTCACCCTCACTGTTAAAAAAATTTTCCTCAAGTTCCTGTGGAACTTTTGGTGCTTCAGTTTGTGGCCATGTAGTTTCTACAGACAAATGCTCTGTCACCCATCATTATGTTCTACCCTAATTGATATGATACAAACTCTGAATATAAAAAAAGAGGAAAAAAAATTGTATATACTTGAATTGTCAGGCATTAGTTAACACCCATATGGATATTTTTCATCCCTAAACAGTAAATATGTTTTAGAACCATATGTCACAAATACAGTATTTCCCTTGCCCCGGACAGAGGTGGAGTGAGTTTCAAGGTTCTCCTTAACTTATACTGCTCTTAACTGATACTGCTCTGAGAAAACACACACACTACAAAGCCATACATTCCAGCTCATCTCACGTGATAAATTCGAAACTGAAGATAGGAAAAGCCCCTAAGGCTTAGCCACTGAAAAAAAAAAACTCTTTGCATTTATAGATAGCAACAGTGGTAATTTCTGTTTAGACAAGTTCCAGTGAAGTGCAGGTGTTTCTACCACCAGCTGGTCTAACCTCCTTCTTTGCAATGGTCAGAGAACGTGGAGGTAAGAGCTGGAGGTTTGCCCTGGGTTCCCTACTTGAGAGGGCAGAAAGGGCTTCACTTCACTACAGTATGTAGAGCAGGTATATGCTGCTATTCCTATTATTGGTCCTGAGTCCCAAGGAACATCTGTGCACCCTGAAAAAGAGCAACGTTCTTGCCTAACGATGGTGCTAATGGTGCCACCTCATTATGCCTCCTCAGTGTTGTGGGCAATATGCCCTGGAAGAACAGGCAGCATAAAATCTGTGCAGGAAGCAGATAAGGAGGTTATATATTAATTAAAATAGGAATAGGCTTATTTTTCAGAATACACAGAGCACCAAGCACATTGATTAAACACAATAAATGGCAAGAAATCATATCGCAGGCTAGCGGCTGACATGATAATAAGGGCAATTAGTACCTTAGGGAAGAGCAGGCTAAAAGCAGATGAAAATAAATCTCACCTGCCTTCTGGACACTAACTGAATTTTTTCTTCCTAAATGTCAAACTGCTGAGTGAGGTCAACACACGACTGTAAATCTCATGGTGAAATCATCGTGATAATGATTATACTTTTCAGACCGGGTGACAGGATCCAGGGAATCAGCACCCTGATCTTCCCCAGAGCTGCATGAGACATTTACATCGGGATCTGTTTATCTCACTTTAGCTGCATGTAATGCCAATGTCTGCGGTTCAGTCAGCTCTCAGAGTTTTCACTGGTCAGTACAAGCACTGTATAGTGTAATTCAGCACCACTGATGCAACTCATAGGAACAAACATATAATTGATGCCATTGATTAGACAACTCCTCACTGTGACGGAAATTTAAACACCCAGTTGAGGTGTAGCTATCTACATAATAAATACCCATGTTTAATCAGATGAATCCCTTCTCTAACACCACTTTCCAGATTTATAAAATGGGAAACTACTTTTTAAAACAGTGACTTTCCTATTTGTTTGGTTTCATGGAGATTGTTTATGTTCTGTTAAGACCAATCTTTAACCTAAATAGGTACTGAAAAATGATAAACTTCACAGAAAAGCCAGAATTCTACTTTGAAAATAGGTCTCTGAAGGTCTGACCTATCAAGAAAACACATTCCCTAAACATTATCTTCCTGGTGTCACACCGATAGACTCAATAATAAAACTGATTCCCAGGTAAAACTGCAGGCTTATTTTTTCTATGATTTTTTATTGTGTTAATAACTTTACTAGACTATATGCCTGAAGGATAACTACTCATCAGTATCAGAAATAGAAACGCACTCCCATCCATCTCTTAACAAACTCATAGATCCTAAGCTCCCTATGTGCAATATAAAAAAAAAGACTTCTTCAATATGAATAAACTCATACAGGAAGGCAACACTCATTCTCAACAAGAACACTATGCCGTGACTCCAAAAGATTTCAAGCTGTTGCCTACTTCTACTGGAAAAAGAAATCACAGAATTCCTATTTCTAGACGTCTGTAGGTCTAGACTGACTGTACACCCGTAGGTTTGACTGTTACAGCTCCTCCTTCTGGAGCGACAGGGACCAGCTCACGGGTAAAGGCCCAGGTTTCAAGTATGTCTCAGTACACACAATCCAAAGATGAGGCGGGTGGCAGAGATTTTGTCTTCACGTTCTTTGTCATTGGGAAAGTGTCTGGCTGGATGCACAGTACAGCCAAGAAGTCAGATCACATGAAAAGCGGAGGAAACAAAAACCTTTTGCACCTTCCCGCAGGAGAAGAACAAAGTAGGAACTGAGGCCCAGAGTTTCCTGCTCTAAGAGGTGATACAGGGATGGCCACTGAGGTGCCCTTCTCACCCGAGAGAGCATATGCTGTGAAACTCCCAGGTGAGACCAAAGGCAATGAATGTAACTGAGCTCAAAAGGGACAGATCTCTTACACATGTGGAAACCAACTTGCTAAAGTCAATGCCAGAGCAATATGGACCATAAAATAGGACAGCACAGATTAATGGGCCTAATAAAATTGAAAGAAAAAAAAATGAAGTAATTCTCCAGATACAAGAATATAGGAGAAAATATTTTGGAGATCACTGAAATTAGCCAGCAAAATATTTAAAAGCAAAAAAACCCTTTACATTCAGCTGGCATACCATACTTTTTATCCATAAGTATTTCAGTTACCATAACAACTTGGTCTATTCAGTCAATTATGTCATTTTTATCTCAGCATTTTGGAATTTGAATGGCTTGTTTAAGAACTGCAGTTGCTTTGGGAGCACAATGAAGACTTAAAAAATCATTTAGAAGTGCAGACTATGTTTTATTATTAACTTTTTGGAAAATGAAAGTTTTGCATTTATTCTCGAAAGAATAAAGGACATATTTTACAAATATTACTTTAAAGACCTAGGAGTTAGGCTTCTGGACAGAAGAAGTCTTTTGTCACAGAGGACACTAATTCTTGCTTATGGCCCCTCTAGTACTTGCCTTATAAAAATAATAAATGTCATTAATGGTAGTAAGAATTACAGGCATACACTCTGCTCATATGTGTAGTTAACACTAAGCAGATCATGACACCCACTTTAACTTCAGTGAGGAACCAAAGCATTTCCCTGCGTCCTCTTTTTAAAGTACTTTCAGAATTTGTTTCTGGGGCACTTGGAAACACTAAACTAATTTCAGGCTTTTAAAAAAGTTTGTTCCCAACCAAATTTTTGCCAATATGCACTATATTAACTCTTCTCTTTTCTTTTGTATGCAACCACACAAAGCCTTTGTCAGTCTTTGAGACCACTGACTTTTTCTGTAAGCACCTCCAAAATCATCCTGAAGATGGGCATGGAATGAAAAAGCTGGTATAAGACGTTAATATTCCCAAAATGGTTCACGCAAACACAGACATGTAGCTTATTCCAGGAGTGATAATACATACCATGACCGTCATCAAAAAATTCTGTTATAGTTGCTGAAGTGCATTTCGACCAGGGTTTGGAAGCATCAATGCTAGTGAGAATGGAGGACATCAAGCGCTTGTCTTCCATGGAGCCAAAGTTCTCCTCGCAGAATTTGGAGTCATCATGGGAAAGTCCAAGCAAGTGTCCTGCAGGAATGAAATAGGTAAATAAAATGATACTGCTATCCTGAATGGAATTTACCAGCTCGACTTATAGTCAAGGTATAATGAATTGTGCAACTCCTTCTAACAGAAATGCAAAGCAGGCCACTTGAAATGCGGTCTCTCTGATGGATGACAAAAGAGCTCCGCATATTTACACCACTACATGTAGCAGTGAAGTAATCCCATCAGGTGGCATTTCATGAAACTGTGCTGATTTAAACATGATGAAAACTAAAGTCAACTGTGTCCATTTTTGTTAATCTTTAAATTAGTTCTTATTGTTTTGCAAATCATCTGTAGCAAGAAAGACTAATATAAAAGCATTTGGTGACTGTGCAGAAAGGTGTGACAATATCTTTCTAAATGTATGTAAATGCTAATGTTTATGGAATAAGTACCTACATGACAAGTCAAACTGTATGAAGTTCTTTTACTGTAAGCGTCCTGAAGGATGCAATATATCTCTGCAATATATCAGTGAGAATAAACTTGTCACGTAGTCTCTTCCATGTATGCCAGTTTGTCTTATTTTGCATTAGATTTTCTTTTTATTGTAATTTTGACTAAGGTTTTAGTCCTCTGAGATTTTACTTTTAAATATACACAGTATTAAATATTTTTTATTACATAACACAAATGTCAAACAAAGTAGCAGATGATGAAATTCATGTGAACGCTTAGTACCTAGCAGGGTTTATTCTGGTGCCAGATCAGCTCCTATAAAGGTGACAGCAGCATTTATGGTAGAGAAGTGGTCCCTACCTTCTCTAGTCTGTGGGCAACAACAATAGATTGCAGGCAACACACTTTGTTCACTTGGTTAACTTTAATTTCCACTCTCATATTGCATTATGTCACAGCCAACTTTATCCAAGGGGTAGAAGGGTATGAATGAGCTCCAAGCTGCAGAAGGGTCCAGCTGGACATTTTCATTCATCTCCTTCAGCCAAGGCCAGCAGATGATTAGCCAGACATGCAGGGTTAGAGCATAAACACTTTAGCGATAAGGACAGAGACCACCCATAAAAGACACTGCATAGAAATAAATCTTATGCCCCACACATGCCTGTGAGGCTGAAAACATGCAAACTGTTCTGCAATATCTGAAAGCCTTCCGTGTACTATAGACTTCATGTTTAGCTGTAACTGCTGTAGACTAGCTGGAAGGTGACAAAAGCAAGAACACTGATGGTAGGATATAATACACTGATATTCCTAGTAATAGCCATGGCAACAGTAATAATAATAATAGTACCTACAATGAAGGTCAGAAAAGCAGAACATCAGTAAAGCCTATTTGTTTTATATATACTTTCTGTTATTTTGTTTTGACCCGTGTTGGGAGAGAAGTCAAGAAGAAAAAGATCAGGGTAGCATCTGTTGTCTAGCAATATCTGAGATTAGGAAATAGCCCAGCTCCCTGACCAAAAATTAGTGTTAAAACTGCAGCAGACCTTAGATGAGAGTTTCTGTCTTGAGAGAGTAGCCAAGCTACTCAAGTTACCATCTGCTGATGCTGGGTCCCTGACCTAAGGATGGAACTGCAGAAGACAAGAAGACCTTGATCAAGACA